AAGCCTGAGATGTTCTCTCACACAGCAGCCATCCCCCCTCTCCATGACCTGGGGTTCAAAGACATTTTGCAGCCAGTGATCAGGGCTGAAAACGCCTTACATCCCACATCATTCCCACAGAGAACACACAGCTGTGAACACACAGCTGTGAACACACCACCTTGCCCCCCACCTTCCTGTACCTTATTTCCTGTACACCACACCGTGCTCATCCCAAATACACCTGAAACACAAATACAGCCACCTTTTCTGCCACACCTCCCACCACAGAGTGGAAATGAACAGTGAAACACAGGGTGGAAAAAATGCATGGAGTAATACACAGTCATGGGCTTCGGGTGATTACAGAAAAGCGTGCAAGTGTAAAAGGAGGGAAAAATGAACCTGTAGTTCTCACAAAAGTCTACAGCCACTTAAGTGCCTCATCTGTGGAGTGCAAAAGATGCTGAGAAAGCATTGTGTCACAGGAAAGCCTGAAAGAAGGAAGCTACAGACAGCCATATTTCAGAGGTGAAGAACCTTGAAATCCCCCTCTTTCCCTTTGCAACTGGAGGTGAAAATTAGAGTCTGAAAAAGCAGGACCCTTCTGACTAGGACTGGATTGTGTTGGGATGAAAAGAGGGAGGCACAGCTGGTGTATTTTCAACTTGTGGCGTGCAGATGGAGGTAGTAGCATGGTGGAACAAGGTGTGGGAGGGGAGTGAGGACAGATCCGTGAGAAGACTGCAGGATACAGATGAACCTGGCAGGATTGCATGGGAAGCCCAGCACTGAAGTAACATATTGATTTCCAAGCCAGGACTGAAAAGGACTTAAACTAGTGCCAAAGGCATTGCAGAAAGAGCTCCTCCAGATTAGGTAGGAGGTTGCTCCAAGAGGCATTCAGGCTGCAGGTATAGGACATCCTAAATGCTTTTACCTGGTGTCACACAGAAAACTCTTGTCAGGGCAAGGGAGGGAACAGCTCACACAGGGAGTACCCTTCTTTTTCTTTAGAGATGATCTGAGCCCAAGAGCAAAATGAGCATATAATTGAAGATGTTGGTATCATTATGCAGATATGCTGGAAATCTAACAAAGTATTTAGGAAAGAAAAAGTAGAACACAATGTGTAAAACAAACATTTTATCATGAGAGCCAAGAAAAGGCAGAAGTGAAGCTGCAATTCACCATGTAAAAATGTATATAATAATGATGGAGAAGGTGGTGATGCAGATTAGAATCTGAGATAAGTATTGCTCCACTTTCCAGTGGTTGTTCAGATGTAATATTGGAATATTTCAGATCTCGCTCACTCAGTGCATTTTTTCTAAGGAGCGCACAGCAGAAAATGAGCAGTGACAGGTCTGATCATATTTCATTAGTTTGCATGCTATTACTTCACACTTATATACTAAGTTCCATATGCCAGTCTCAGTTCTTTCAGAAATTATCTATTCAGCCTCTCAGTGGCCCCATGGGGTAGCTCTCACTGTCTCCAGCCTGCTGCTGGGGAAATGGAGGTGCAGACATGTGGACTGGCTTGCCTCAAGGCCATGCAATGAAACAGAGTCAGGAAAAAAAGCCTTGTCTCCCTGATCTCTAGAACTTCTAATAACAAGCTTCTGCTCTTTACACAGCACAATTAGAAATGTGGATTCTGTACATTCATAGATCTTTCCTTAATGAAAGAACCCTCTCATTAGCTCTAGGAACACAGCGTTGTAACATTTTGATGTTCTGCCATTTGTGGACTGGAATAGCTCCGATTTCTTTGCCAGAAGCAGCAACAATAAGGTAGTTCCTCCTCTTGACGTACTGCCAAGGAAACACTGCTGAATTGTCTTTGAGCAACAGCTCTCTGCAAAGCTCATTGATACATTTATCTGTGCCTTCTTTCTCTGGAACAAAATAGAAATCACAGTGCAGGCCTGGAGAAAAAAAAAAAAAAAAGGCTCATTTTCTTCTTGTCATTTGAATTTTGTTGGATTTGTGGCAACTTTAAAGTATTTAGTATCCGGTCTCCCAATTTACTATGAACATGTTTCATAAACTTTGCAAATTTTGACTGTTCCAGAAGGCAGAATGAAGTGGGTATTCGGGCCAGTTTCTGAGCTCTTGAAAAATCACAAAGTTGCTCAGGCTGGTCCATATTTCAGCATCCTTTTTATTGTAATATTCTCATATTTTTCCAGAAAGCAGAAAACACACACAAGTAGGGCATCCCATGCAGAAGGAACTGTAATTTGGCATGGTGCACTAACACTTCTCTTGACTTGGGTGTTGTAGGCCAGTTGCTCCCATAGCTTAGACATTTTCTCTGCTTTCTGCAGCTGGTGTTGCGTTGTCCAAACTACAAAATTACAAAATCTCCTCTGCAAAGAATTCTAGGTCAGAGCCTGCTCCCCAGGGAGGATCTGAACATGCTACCTGCTCTAGCAGCATGTGCTTGAACAAAATAATAAAGAAACAATTCTAAAAGGAAAGTAAGCCATGCTGGCAATTCAGAGTGAGGTAGCAACAAGAACACCACTCAGTGATTTAAAATCTAAGCTTTGCTTACTGAGGGAGATTATTTAGTGGCTGGCTGGCAATTTCTAGCTGTGAAACACAAACCCACACATACAAATAATCCAACTGAAAACTCTATTTGTGTCTGTGAGGGGTACCAGGGGCAACAAGTCTGTATTGAGCAGGGTTTCTGTAGCAAGGCTGCCAGGCTGCCATGTGCAGGAGCTGCCTCACAGCTATTTGCAGCCAACTTTGGTATGGATGTGAACAGCCCAGGATGCTTCTGAAACCTCAGCCTGTCAAAACCAGTCAGAAGATCCCCAACAGAGAATGTGACACCTCTGCTCAAACAGATTTAAGGAAGAGCAACACCCAGAGCAGGGACTGTGAGGGACTGTGGTTTGTGGAAAACCCACATCAGAGTGGAAGAAAATGAGCCAAATGCATAGATTGGCAGAGAGAAACCACTGCATTCCAGCCTCAGCCTCCTGCATTGCCCACCACATCCTTGAAGGGGCAGGGAAAGATTGAGTGTAATGCATGGGAAAAACAAGGTAAGTTGGGGCCAAGAAGCTCTCAGGCTTCTTGGGAGTGGTGTTGAACTGAAATTGACTTGCGAGGAAAAGGGGGGAAAAAGGTGTTTACCTAAATAATTGTTTAATTGTTTCATTTTTCTTTTCTTTTTTTCTTTTTTTTTCCCTCAAAGGCTGAGTGAGTAATCAAAAATTTGCTCTAGCTGGTGATAAATTAAATTAAATTCTACAAGTCAGGACTGCTTTGGCCATGACAAGTGCCCTTACTCCACCTGGTAAAACTGTCCAAGAGCAACCTGTTGGTACAGCTGTACATGTACCAGTTCCAACTCAAGTTTAACCTTCTGTGTGATGGGGTTCATGTCCTCAGCAACAATTGTTTTACTGCCTAATGGAGGTGGCCAGAAAGTCACCAAATTCATCATTTTCAGGTCAGGCAAGGCTGGTTTAGATTTCTCCACATGTTAATTAATGGTCACTTTTGATGTCACTAATATGTTACAGTGATGTTTACCAGTTCCTCTGTGTTTCTTTTTGATCTGCACCTGAATTATTTGGAACAGCAAGGATGTAGTTCAGAGCCTTGAGTGAGCTTTCCCCCCACAGCTGTTTCTGCTTTCCTTGTTTTCCCTTAGACTTACCAACTTCAGATCTCATTTTGTCTGAGTGATAGTTCTGGGCAAGTTGCATCACATGACAAGCCTAACTTCCATTTCCAAAGGATCTCAAAGCAATCTACAGAGATTGATACTAAAATGATCATCCTGGTTATGGAAAGGCAGCTGTTCTTCAAGCTGTAGAAAACAATCACAGATCAGCTACCTACAGGGTAGAAAAAGCATTAAAACCCCAGGGCTCTGAAGCAGAAGAGGGGGAATACTGTCTGCTGGAACTGGATCAATACTTGCAGGAAACCGGAAGATAATTCATTCATGAGCATAGTTTGAAAATAATATTCTGTTTCCAAATGGCATTATTTTGATTGGAAAAAATGAAAGAGCCATGCATAATGTGGGAGTTTTGAAATCAGTAAAAATGAAAGACTAACTTACATAAGGAAATAGCAGAAAAATATATATAGGGTGGCTACAATTTGGTGATTGTGTGTTTTCTGTGGAATTTTGTATTGACTCTTAAAAAGTACAGAAAAAGAGATGGGTTGAACTAGTCTAACCTAGTGTGAGACAGAAACCCCCCGGTTTTTCTGGTTTTCCACTTTCAATAACTACCATAAGCTTTTTCTATTAAGAACTCATGCCTTAGTCAAAGGACTCAAATAACCACTGCTTATGTAAGATATTTATTTGTCTGCCTGGTGGGGTGTAGGAGCTGTGAATCTCCAAATTGTGGAATGGAGATTAAAAAGTCATCAGCTGGGACAGATTCAATAATATTAGTGCAGCACCCAAGACCACAACATTAAGTAGGATTCACTGCTATGAAATTTAGACAAAAGCTTGTCAATACTGTCAATTCTGTGGAAGTATTTACAGTGTAAAGGAGAATAACCATATCCTTGCAGCTGGATAACAATGCCAAAGGAACTAATACATTTCTCTGGAGCAAGAAATACCAAGAGCCTTTAAAGGTTAGGAAAGAGCATCAAAGGAGCCTTACAAATTTACACTGGAAAAAAAATATTAGCTGCTTGTTTCTGCTTTCACTGGCATTACAGAAAAGCTTCAGGTTGGGTTTTATCAGAGCATGCTCTGCATCTAAAATCTGAGACAAGATTCTGCTTTAGGCTACATTCCTGGCACTGAGATTGGTGGAGCTGCACAATAAGATCTTGCGTAGTCTGTAAGCACCAGCTTAAAATCTCTCTCCTTCTCTGGCATCAAAACAAGTAATTTGATAAAATCAGGTTTCCTTCAAGAATTTTTTTTTTTCCTGGAGAATGTAACACTAATCAAATGCACTTCATCAAAATACTTGGGAATTTGAAATAAAAAACAAACAACAGAACAACAAAATTAATTAGCAGGTCTGACTCACTCACATGCTTTATTTGATGTCAACTGACAAGACTTTGGTCCAGAAGTAATGAAAAAAAAAAATTTAAAGGAATTTACACTAATTGAAAATATCAAAATGCACGTCTGCAGAAACATTACATTTAATTGGAAGTTTATTTCAAACATATTACTTGCTGCTAGTTAATTACTGTTGCAAAGCATATTTTTAAGGTTCAAAGTGCTGAGAACTGCCAGATCTGGCAGCATCTGCTCCTGTAGGAAGTTGATAATACAGGATTTTTTTACACACATGATATTTTCTTCTGCTTTCTTTAGCTATTCTTAGAAGTTCTCAGCAGAAAATCAGCTGAAAGTTCCACCCCAAACCTCAATAGTGGAATTAATGGATATGGATATTTCACCCCTCTAATATCCAAAATACAAAATGTTGACAATACAAAGGAAGTCAGATCACAGTGAAAAATTCCCTTCTTCCTCTGTGATTAATATTACTAAACAAAATAGACTAGAGATACAAATTATTTTAAAAGTGCTATTATCTAAACTTGTTTTTTTTCTGCAAGTTTTTTTTCCCAACACTGTGTACACAGCAGAAATGCTTTCAAGTCATATAAAATACCATAGGAAAAAGTTTTGCCATTTAACACCCTGAAGGCAGCATAGAACAGAAAGATAACAGGGTTTTCACCATGACAGAAAGCAAGGCATATATATTTAATATTATACTTCTGTTTTTCTGATGAGCAGCTCAGCAGTGTAGAGTGCCTTTAAAAGAAAGCTGTGCTGTAATATTTTTTTTTTTTTCTTAAAATGTGTACGCACTGGTTTCATTCCATAGCCCAAATAATTTCCCACATCTCCAGTGCTGTCAGTATAGTTTGTAAATCTTATAGTTGATTATGGAAAAGTCACAAACTTGCAGAAGTAACACAATCCTATTTCTTTCATGCCTCAGACTCTATAGGGAGAATGGGACAAAAATTCCATGTGCAGAGAAAAGACTTGTATATTCATGAGGAGCTATCATACATATTAAACAGGAGACTGCTCCTCAGAGGCTGAAACAACACCCCAGGTGAGAGGAATTTAAAAGCCAAGGATCCTGCCTGGTTTGCTTTGCAATCTGCTAGGAAGAAATACAGAAAACAACAGAATTTACTGAAGTATTTGGAGCACCCATTCCTGTTTTTCTTACATGCTCTGTTGGGTTTTGTAATTCAAAGTGAATAGCTCTTATATAAAACTAAAGAACACAAACAAGTAACTTTTCAAATTGCTTCTGAATAGGTAACAATTTGAAAATAACTAAGGTATGATGAGAATTAAACATTCTTTAAGATACCTATAAAGAATGCAGGAAAATAATAAGCTACTCTTGCATAACATGAATTAACCTTACGGGTTTTTAATACCAAAGGAGTACTAAAGATGTTTGTTTTCAGAAATATTCTTTAGGCAACAACTATTTTGTCATCTCAGACGTCCTGGGTGTTACACTAGAATCTCAATGTTATTGGTAAAAAACATCTTTATTTCTGTAACAAACATACTTCTTTCAGCTAATTTTAATAAAATATTTTGTGACTGCTTAGGGCAATGAACCCAAAAACATAATCACCGGTATTTTAAGAGATACTGTCATAAAATACCACCAGATTGTCCCTAAAAAGTCATCACAGTTATCCTGTCATGTAGTCAAGGTGTTGTTGCACAGCACAGGACATTTTTGATTGTGGCCTACTTGCCACAAAAATTGGAGTTATATTTATCTGTCTGCTGAATCCCATGGGGAGAAGTGCTGGATGAGGGGTCTGGCAGGACTTCTTTAGACCTGTTCTTTAGGGAGAGACTTGTTCTGGAGGAAACTCTGAGCAGGGGGAAAACAGACCACTCAGGGGTAGTGCAGGGCACTTGAACCATGGCCAAGGTGGGTCTTAGGACAAAGGGACTGGGAGATGAAGAGATGCAGTGATTTGGCTACAGAAAAAAGTAAATTTGTCAGTCCTTAATACCTTGGGGTAGGAAACTCTTCAGTGGCTGTGGCTGTACTTCTTCTGCTGCAGTGTTATTGCGAAGTATTTCACCCCCTGCTCTCCTGACTCTGTTCCTGCCACCAGCTTCCTTCTGCCTTTTCATAAATCAACAAATGCACTAAGCAATAATACTGGGCAGGAAAACAGAAAAAGTGACTAGTGAAGAAATTGTTAGAAGCAATTCATGTTTATTTTCAGCTCAGCAGGGTAGCAGGTTCACTCCTTCACAGCTATTCACACAGCAGTGTTAACACCAGAAGCCCTGCTCCAGTTTTCTCCAGGTACAAACATAAACCACAGAAGAATTTAGGTTAGAAGGGTACTGTGGACATCATCTGATCATTTGCAAAAATAGGCTATCTTCAAACTTCAGGCTAGCTTTCAGCTTTGGTGCATGTCACCAGTGTTACAAAAAAAGGAATAAACTCAGAGCTTGCATGAGCTCACAGATTACAGCTCACCTCTCCCTAGGACTTCAAAACAGCAGTGATAGTGCTCAAATACCTCTGAAAATGACTGAGCATCTCAGAGGAATCTCTCCTCCCCCTTCATTTTGAAGACTGTCACTAGGGGAGGGCTATGAATGTGAACATCACCAGAGTGATCGTGAATGAAGCCAGGAGCAGCGCTCAGACTCCTGTGGCAGCTGCATTCATTCCTCGCAGTGTGGCAGCTGGCACAGGAGCAAGGAGCACAGCTCCTCTCAGAGAAACTTCACAGGAATCAGGCCTTAGCAGAGCTATCCAAAGAACACTTCCTCAGACAAGGTCCACAGAGGTCACTGAGCAGATTTCTTACAGATCCATGGGGCAGGGACTTGACAGCTGGAAGCACGGGTGGCACCATTCAGCAGAACAGTACAGTTCTGTACAGGGCTGGTGGACTCGACCCTGTGAGAGACAGAGCACACAAGCAGAGCAACACTACAGAGGGATCCCCACTTTGGCAGGGGGAAGAACATCTCACAGCTTTGGAGGGAAGAGACCTGCTGCAGTTAGACTCAGTGAGCTGATGTCAGGGAGGATCCATCCTGGGACACAGGAGGTCTGGCAGTGGGACTTGTGATGCCTGGAGCTCAATGTGAGGCTTGCAGTTTGCCAGTCTCACACTGGGCTCTCCATTTCCCACCACTAAAGAGCAAAATGTTCTGTCCTACAAGGGACTTTTTGCTGTTCTACTAAAGGCATTTGGGACAGAAAGTATAAAGTATTCCAGTTAAAGTATGCAGTTAAAATCATCTGTATGGGTGTGTGAAAGGTGGAAGCCTCTGCTTCATTAAGGCTATCCAATCAAGGTCTCGTTCAGGACAAAAGAGCATAACGAGGACAGAATTATGAAACAGAAATCCACAGACACAAACATTCAAGAAATAACAGACAAAACTGCAAAGACCAAAAAGTCTTCAGCTACTAATTGATGGGCCATCAAAAACCTCCAGGCACAGCATTGGACAGGAGCACCTTGGGCTTTGGAACAGATAAGAAAGGTGGGGTAAAAGCAGAGCAGGAGGATTTGAGTACATTCAAGGTGGGCCTTCATGCCTGTGCAAAACTTGTTGAGGAACTTTTAGGGGACGAGGAGGAAAGAGAGGGGAGGAGGGGAAGCAAGGGATGGGTCTGAGCCTCTGGGAGCAGCTGATGATTGCAGGCACAATCACTGTAACACAGTCCTTTGCTTGTACGTGTGCTGTCTCTGGTGGGACCTACAGACACGAATGTAGCAGCTGTGTCCATTAGTCAAGTCATGGGTTTTGAAGGGTAAAGAAGAAACACTGTGTGAGAGAGGAAATTTTGGGGCCATTTCTGAATGTGAACACCTACTCCCTTCCTTCCTACAGGGACCTGCTTTTTGAGACTCAGCACTTCAGAGTCAGCTTCCCCAGCTGTGGGTTCTGAGGGCCGAACTCATTACAAAAAAGACTCAGCTGAGGCAGGCAGAAAGAAGCAAGTCCCTCTTGCAGAGTGTCTAAGGGAAAGCCTTGTCTTTGCCAATGCAGGGAGGTGGTGGGTGGGTCCTAGAAGCCTTTTACACTCTCCCTTCCTCCCAGAGGGAAGGAACTGCCATAACAGTGCCTGGGGTTTGCTCCCACTCCATCCTGCCCTTGCCCCTGCAAAGGCACCCACCATTTCACTGGTATTGCTGATCACCAGGAGATAAGCTCCCTGTGCCCAGCAAGATTCCTGGCTGGAATTCCAGTCCTTCTCCTTGGAGAAGGAGTAACACCTGCCTCTGAAGATCACCCACTGCTCAGGGCAGCACGGACATGGGCAGCCTGAAAAAGAATCATACACGTCTCTTCCCACTCATAGTCATGCCTAGTTCCTTACAAGTACATTTCACAAATGCATTCTTTCAGAAAATTATTCTCCCCAGTTACAGTAATGCCAGCCCTGGAGCTTTCCTGAGACTGGTAAAGGATCACAGCCTCTGAAGGAATCCGTGAAGAGCATCCATTTTCCAGATGGAAATAGGTGTGAGAGTAAGTCTTCTTTTAAAGAGAAAAGGTCCATGCTCTTCTTGGACCAATGAGCAGAGCTCTGCTGTGCTCCCTGACAAAGTTCTACATTCAAAGGAAGTATTTTCAGTGAAGGAGATTTATTTACCCTTGATAATAAAACTATTATTATAAAACCTTGATAATAAAACCATTATTATTATTACACCCTTGATAATAAAACCATTATTTACCCTTGATAATAAAGCCATAAAACTATTATTCCCAGCAATGTCAAGAAGAGGATCCCTAGAATCACTGCAGTAATCCAGCAGGTAGTAGATGAAACAGAAGAACCTAAAAGAATAAAAAGAACATAAATGTGAGAAAAGTGAAGTTTTCTTAATGGGACCAGCTCTAAAAATACAATTCATGTCAAACTGCAGTGTTAGTTTATCTCAAGCCTGCACTCATGTCAGAGTCCAAGAATGTCTGAGAGAGTTTATTTCGATATTCCACACACTGATAATTTAACCTTTAATAGCAAATTCACTTATTTGAAAATGTGGTATTTCATGAGATTCTGATTTATCAGAATCAACCACAGCTATATGTTGGAAGCACAATACAAGAGTAAACTAACAGAATGTAGCAATTTCAATAAAGACATGAAGCACAATATAAATGTGATTCTCACTGGCAGAATTTATGATATGCTCACCATTACAACGCTGGCTAGCACCAGGAAGAAATAAGTATCAGGATATATATATATATATATATATATATATATATATATATATATATATATATACTGTCCCATGCTGGTCTCATTAACTTAGAAGGACATTCACACTCTTTTGATTAACTCATGAACAAAAATTTACACAGCCAGCTGATATAATCAGCTGATCCACCCAACTGACACTAACGTTAATCAAAAAAAATCAGTCACTGCATACTTCATCAATACATTGCACTTTCCTTAGAGAGTCCCTCCCTTGAGATTAAGCCCATTATAGGGGCTTATTGATCGGTCACAAGCCAGCTTTCCATCTGAAGGGAAATCTAAATACCATGAGTGTTTTGATACAGCACAAACAGATGTTCTTAGATCACTCTGTTGGAGCTGTAAGTCTTCAAATTTAACCTACCTTGAACTGCACATCCTTCCCAATCTCAAACAGCAGGACAGAAAGAAAAAATTTTAGCATACAAATGCAAATCTCTAATTCAGACACGAAATCCGCTAGACTGCTTATTTACTAATGCATGCATCTTTTCCATTATTAACAGACTTTACCTTTGTTCTTGATGTCCTTGTTCCTCTCTGTTCTTTGTCTTCTCTGTTTCTTGGCAGTTCTGTGTTTCACATTCAGAGAGAAGTGTTCCTTTTTATCCCTGTCACATGCTTTTAAGTGTTGCTTTTTAAAATGTTGCTTTACTTGGAATTTAGAAGTCCCATCTGCCACAAAGCCTGGACATGGATCTGGATTTCCCTGAGGGGCATATGAGCTTTCCTCTCAGCACTTTGGAATGATTTCTAATGACAGAGCATATTATTAGCAGAAAAGTAATATACATAAGGAATTATGTCATACACCAGCTTTTTGGAATACAAAATGGTTTAAGTAATGACAATAGTTCACAAAGAGGTCGATCTTTTGTGATTAAATTGCTGCTCTGATGGATGTTCCATAAATCATTGTTAGACAGAGAAGCTTGCTTTGACTGGGGGAGCAAAGGTATCTAGCATTCTTCACGTCATATAAATAAGCAATTTTGGCTTGACCAAGATGAAAAAGGTGAGGAATTAAATTTCCTCACATAGTAAACAGGTATTTCTAGTGGGATAATTTACAGATTGCATTTCTCTTTCACTGCAAGCACTGTCAATGAAAGCAGTGCAGGTGCATTTGATCTGTATCAACATCTTTAATTATACCTATTTATTTATTCACATTAACAACACAGCAAAACACAAGAGTTTGAGAATTGGGACAAGAAAATTGAGGGGGGGGGGGTTACCTTAGCTCCCCAGGAGGAAGCTGAAATGTAACAGTAGAACAGGTGGTGCCTGTGTTCTATTCTCCATATGTGACTCTGCAGGGTGGCAAAGCAACCATTACCATCTGACTGAAACAGGGCAACTGCAAGATGAGAAATAATTATTGTGGTGACCCACACAGGAAACTTGAATTATTCCACTCCAGAACAAACCTCTATCATTTCAGACCTCCAGTTCCTGCCATAGTTGCACCAAACTCTGAGCTATTTCTAATGTCACGTTCATGGAGCAAGAGAATATATTGGAATGGTTCAATCTGTGGAATCCATTATTAAATCATATGCTTGTATTGCCAGCCCTTTTCCACAACAGTTTCACTGTCCAACAGTATCAGCCTTTCCACCTCAACTCTTTGATTTGTGAAGAAAAAAGTTGCTCATTTTTGCTTAAGGCTAGGTCAAGACTTCAGACAGAAAACAGAAACCACAGTACCTTCAGAACAGGAGACTTCACAAATCATTAATTTTGTTACTTCTGAGAATTATTACAATCTGAAAATATAATTAGATTAAAATTTGTGTGATTATTTTCACTTTATAGACTACTAGGAACATATATGTTTAATTTTCAAATATATAAATATTTTCTATGCCTTTTCTTAATTTTCCTTTATCTTCTCTTTCTTCTTATACTCCATTTATTTTTAAGAAGACAGAGAACTGGTCAGGGACATAAAAGTTGGCAGTAATCATGAGATGTTTTTGTTCCTGAAAAGAAGGGGAAAATACAAAACCAAAATCACAATCAAGCCTGGACTTTAAGAGAACAGACTTTATTCTGCCCAAGAGTCTGTGTTCACATGAGAAATCCAGTGGCAGAGAGTCCTGTAGAGAAAAGAGGCTCAGGATGGGACTGGTTTTCAAGGATTAGCTCCACTGAACTCAACAATGGTCTGTCCCAAAAAAGCAGGATACAAAACAAAGGTGGCAGCAAACGTCTTCAAGAAGACAGGGAACTACAAGACAGTCAGCCTGACATGAGGAACTGACATTTTAAAATAAATCTTTACAATAAACCTTTGGCTACTGAAAGGGACTCCTTGGGCTTGGACAAATTGGTCTGCCTTGTGCTGTGTGGCCTGATAAGGTCTAAAGGAGATTTTTCAGACTCCACATCCAAAGGTCTCCTCCTCCTCCCTCACTCCACTTTGTGTGGTGTGTGGTTTAAGGGGCTGGCAGGTCCATGCCAGCTTCAGGGACAGTCCTGTAGAAATGACCTGCAGGATGCTGTTTATCCATTTTCATAGAATAATTCTGTGGCTTTTGATATTTCAAACTCATCCAGACAGGGTAGTGATTCAGGGGGCAAAACAAGCTAGTACAGTTCCTCCTAGAATCAATTGTGCACACAGCAGAAATCACACAAAGGGTGAACACTGACTGAACAAAGAACTTTAGCCCTGTTTTACAAGTTTGTGGCTCCTTGTGGGCAGATTTTTAACATAAACATCAGACTTCTCCCACTTTCCAGCAAGCTGGATCCAAACTCTGCCCCTACATCCCTGATTTCTTCACTGTGCTGCTGCAGCTGACTCCGAATTCTATCAAAAAAATTAAATGCAGAATGCAGGATTTAATTAAATAACATCAATAAAGTCAATAATTTAGTGTAAGAGATTAAGTAATTACACTTAGTAAACCTAACTCATCAAATTAAATGCTATCCTCCAGCTTGAGAAGCTGGAGGACATTTGTTCCAAAAACACACATTCAAAAAAAAGAAAAAACTTTGATCACGGACAGTTCAACTTGTATCTAGCTCCTCTTTATTTTTCTCACAAATGGTAAACCACAGTAAATCCACACTTTTAAAAGATAACACCAGCTCACAGGAAATGCTTTTTCTGAAGACATTAATTTAAACCAGGCAGGAAGCATCAGCTTGGATTGAAGACAGGCTGAGATCAAGAGTTGAGAGCTGCAGCTCAGCTGTGGACATGCTATTGGTGTAATGAAAAAGTAAAAACTGACCACGACCAGGCTCCGGCATAAATATTTAATTGCTCTCATTCTTGTTGCAATGATTCTGGCAGAAAGTTAAGAAAGATTTCTCCAGTGGCAACAGCTCTGCTATAGCCTATCCACATCAAAATATCCCCTTCTTACCCACCCAAGCCTCATCCTTCACCTCTATGTACCAAATTTTGAAGAACTAATCATAGGAAGCTAATCAAATAAAAAATAAAATATTTCTGCAAGGCCACATGGGAGTTGAGCACATCCACTTCATTACAGTCACCCAATCAAGGTGCATTTAAATGCAAAAGAGCATAATAAGCTACAGAGACACAAACCTGATGCACATAAAATAACAGAGGGAGCATTTTCCACATAAGATCAGAAGACAGATGTGAAATTCTGCGCTGTTTTATTTCTGAAACTGTTGTACATGGGAAGGGGAGCAAAATTAAATGAAAAATCAAGACAGGCAATCTGTCTTTCATCCCTTCATAATTTAGCTTGGGTTTAACATCAGCATGGAGAACAATTCCTCTGGGTAATCCTCGTGGATCCCTTCCAACTCAGGGCATTCTGTAACTGTGATTCTATGAATTAATTTGTCCCTTGCAGAAATGGGGGCTGTTTATAAAACAAGGCAAGAGGAAAACCCCAGTTCACCTCCTCCTTTTATCATAGACAGAAAGACCTGTTAAACCATCCAAAAATACGAGAGTAACATGAAACTTATGTGAAAAAAGCCTTTAATGTGTCTTGGACAGTTGGGGGGGATGTTGGTGGTTTATTGCTATTTGTTGATGGTGCAGCACCTGCTATAAATAAAATCACAAGCTGTAGGAGGTAGCACATAAACCAATGCACTCTCACATTCTCATGACCAAACCAAAGCCCTCACCAAAAACGCAATTCTGTGAATGCAGAAAAGCAAGAGTACTGCAGTACTTCTCTTCTGTGTGGCTGAACCAGAGTCCTTTGCAACATGCCCACTGTAGCACAAAGAAGATTTTGCAGTACAAAGACTTAAAAAGTTCATGTTGCTCATATGTGGTTTCAGAAAATTCCAAGCATGGTGAAGCCAAATCATACCAGAATTTAATATCTGTGCCTCCTATCTGTTGTCACTTTGTGGACCACTTTTTTCACTCTCTTCCTGCTCTGGACAGGATTTCCTCATCCTTAGGAGATCTATTGGATCTAATTCAGTCTCTCACTGAAAATGTGCTCAGATGCCTGAAGAAGAAGGCAGAAGAGATAAGCCTTTATGTGCACTGAAAGATAAGCTACATTTAAGAAGAATAGAGGAAGAATCCACCAGAAACTAAATAAATTATGCAGATGGCTCTGTCATCTTTGAGAAAATTAAATATAATAATTAAAAGGCAACATTTTTGATGGGAACAAAATATTCTAATTAAACAACTAAAAGTCTATCACTAAAAACTGAAAAGCCATGATTCTCCACAAAACAACTGCAAAATTTCCACCAAGTCCTCAGTGGGTTCACTAAGGAGAAATAGGTGCATGAGTCTACATTGTTCCTAAAATGGAGACTGGTATGTGGAAAAGATTTCTGTATAGGCTACTTAAAAAAGCAAGGAGAGCAGTTAAACTACAGTAATTCCACATGTACAATTACATTTTGCCAGTATAAAATTTATTCTAATTTCGATTCAGTTACTTTCAAACCAACATAAATGAACCAGGGGAAGACAAATCAGAGTAAGAATGCTTACATTTGTAGAATGAATAATGCCACTTTATTGAAAGGAAATGAAATTACATCTTACCATACAGCAGGAAAATGTCTTTCTGTAGGCTAATTCATTAGCAGGGTCTTGTCACAGATTTGCTCGCAGGGGAAATCAAAGTAGATCTTTTATGAGAGGCTGTGAGGTGCTCAGCATCTGAATTCCCATGGATTTCCTTTATCAGAGCTTTCACAACAGAAATAAAATATGAGGATTTGTGTAAGGCAGAGCATTGCTTTCTGTGCTCTGAGAACAGTGCTGCATTTGTTACCTTTAGCTCTCTGTTTAACAAGGCTCCCTGTGCATTATTTGTCAGGTCTGCAGCAGCACTGGGGATGCTTTCACAGCTCTGGGATTGTATTACCTGTCACACACCCACCTTTCACAGGCAAGACCTTTCTGAATATCCACTCTTCAGTGGGAGGTTTGAACCAACCAAATGCTTTTTAAATTAATAGTTTATTCACCAAAGATAACTGTGAATTTGACCTAATTTACCAGGTAGCTTTGAACCCATTTTCAAGTGATGGAGAGAGAAGAGGATGTTATTATTTTACCATTTGGAAAAGAAGGTATCTCAATTCTCCAGGTCAGATTTACACCAACTGGTTTATGAAGATCCAGGTGGCAATCAGCCAACACCATGGGAAAAGTCAGAAAGCTGACTGCTTCCTCTTGAATGGACTTTGCAATTTCCCCGTGTATAGCGGTGACACATGTACTGTATGAACTCACATTACATTTCTTTATGGAAGAAAACATCATTTCCTACAAAGCCTAAGTGACATAGAAAGAACAACTATTTCATTCATGTAATTTTGCATTAAAAACAGAAAGCTTCTCACCATTGTCTTTGGAAGAAGACCAACGATGGAAACCAGAATGGAAAGAGTCATATTAAGAGGGGGGATGCTGAGTAAACACTGAATCCACTCTTCACACAGAATGGTAAAATTATTCCTTTAATGTGCATTTAGTCTTTTTTCACAAGGACCTTTAATGCTCCAAGTGCCAAAATAATAAGAGGGAAAAAAAAATCCTAAGATACGGTCAACTTTAGAAACCACAAACAGAAGTGAGAAAATTTGTTTCACAGACTGACTCTGCTTCTTTTTAAATAAAATCAAAATAGCCACAAGTTCCAGTGCCTCTAATTTTTTACAGAGTCTGCATGTCCATTAAAATTAATGATCAAAAAAATTCATGTAAGCTTTGGAGTACTCACCTGACCTGCACAGAAAGCACACTTTCCATGAAGATGTATGACATTTGTGCAACCACTTCTGCATCCACAGACATGAAGGGTTTAGCTTGGTTTTGTTGCTGGGTAAGGAGATGTGGGGATTGTTTGTTTGTGGGTTTGTGTGTCTGAATACAGTGCTCATGTTCCCAAGGGAAGCTAGAGTATAGAGCACTGGAGAAATCCCAGAGAATTATTAAATACCACCCCAGCATGCTCCCCATGACATCTCCTCTAACTGATGCATTTTCCTGGGACAGAAAAGACGGAGAAAAAGTTCCAGAAACCTCATGGTGAGTTGACTCTGGCTGAATGGCAGGTACCCATCCAGCCACTCTATAATTTCCTCTTTTTAGCTGGACAGGGGAGAGAAACTGTAACAAAAGGCCCCCAGGCCAAGATAAGGACAGTGAGAGATCGTTCACCAATTACTGTTACAGGCAAAACAGACTCAACTTGAGAAAAATTAGTTTACTGCTAATCAAATTAGGAAGTATAATGAGAAATAAAACCAAATCTTGCAGCACCTTCCTCCACCCCTCCCTTCTTCCCAGGCTCAGCTTCACTCCCAATTTCTCTACCTCATTTCATCCAGCACGGAGAATGGGAGTTGTGGCGAGTTCATCTCACATTGTCTCTGCTGCTCCTTCCTCCTCAGGGGGAGGACTCCTCACACTTTTTCCCTGCTCCAGAGTGAAGTTCCTCAGGACCCACAGAAAGTGGATCCTTCGGGAATTTCTCCAACATGAGTTCTTCCCAAGAGTTGTTTTTCATGAAGTACTCCAGCATGATCCCCTTCCATGAGGTGCAGTCCTTCTCCAATGAGGGCTCCTCTCTCCACAGATTCTGCCAGGACAGGTTGTTTTCCAGCACAGGCTTCTCTTGGAGTCACAGCCTCCTTCAGACATCCCCCTGCTCTGGCATGGGCTCCTCCAGGGGCTGCAGGTGGATCTCTGCACCCCTCTGGTCAGCAGGGGCTCAGCCACCTCTCTGTGGGCTGTACCACGGAATCTCAGGCAAATCCCAGCTCTGGAGCAGCTCCTGCCCCTGCTTCTGTCCTGCCCTGGGTGTTTGTAGAGCTGTTCCTCTGTCATTCACACTCCTCTCTTTCGCCTGCTGTTGTGCAGTATCTTTTACACTTTCTTAAATATGTAATCACAGAGGTGCTACCAGTGCTGCTGAAGGGCTCAGCCTTGACCAGCAGCAGGTCCATCATGGAGCTGGGGGAAGCTTCTGGCATCTTCTCATAGGAGTCACCTCTGCAGTCCACACCATCACCATAACCTTGCCACACAAACCTAACACTCCTTTAACTCTAGTCTTTCATTACATTTTCTACAGCTTCCTAAACACACTTTACTCCCAAATGACCACTGGCAGAATTATACCAACAGGTTAATTTAAGCATAATGATAACAGTTTCTTGTGTCTGGCATGGAGATTTTATAGATGTTTGAAGAACAAAGGGGTCCCTTCCAACATACACACCTCGTTCTGAGCTTGCAAACTATTTAGAAAGGGAAAACTCTGAGACTTCTTTCTCCTTTACCAAAATATGAAAGGACCCTTCAGAGGATCGTGTATTCCCTCACCAGGCTGTGCACATCAACTCCAGCAAGATCAGCATAGAGCTCAGGCAGCACTGGCTCAGGCACCTGCAGCACTGTGTGCCCATTGCTGGTCTTCACAGCTGCTTTCAGGGAGCACAAGAGCTGTGCTGGGGAAGGTCGGTGAGCTGCACTCCACTGCCAGCAGGACTTCATGATGCAGTACCTGGAAATCATGACATGATGAAATTATGTCTTCATGCAAATAAATGTACCATAGATCTTCCCTGTGGATACTTTGTTCATTTCAGAGAATAGCCTGTAACTTAGAGGAGAAAAATCATTCCCCAGCAGTGCTGCACCTTGCAAGGATGCAGTGGAGCAGCAAAATGCAAGGGCATTTAAGCAAACAGAAATAAGCGATATTTTCAAGAGAAGGAAACAGAAACAAATCTCATTTTCAAGAGAAGGACAGAAAGGTTTTGGCCACAGAGGTTTTATGCAGCAGAACCCAGTAAGGAGATGTGGCAGACACAAATCTCCTCAGCTAACAGGTTACTCTCAGTATAGTCCACACTTTGAAATCTTGTGTAAAATCTCATTTTCTATGTCTCATTTCCATTTAGCTCTGCCAACCCCATGTTCAATTTTCCATAAAGAAAGTAGCTTACATGGCTTGCTGGCAGCTCGAGGGCTGCTTCATAATGTTCTGTTTCTGCAGGTATGATAAGATGTCAGAAGGTGGCACCTCAGGATATGGTGGAGCACCTGGAAGGGCAAAAGGAGCAATGGTAGAAAACTCTGTGGTAGTGGTTGCAGAGAGCAGCTTCTGTGCAAGACTGCCTTCCTTCCCTACCAAAATCTGTTTTTCTCCTACCACAATTCACAATAACAGAAGGTCTAAAAGGAATTGACGGGACTTTGCAAATTGGAAAAAAGCAGGGTGCTTATTTAAATGGCCCAACTTTACATTCTAAAATTTAATATTTCTGGGTCTTGTTAATTTGCTGCTTCCTTATGTATTTTTTTTTAATTAGCATTAAATCTTCTTACCTAGTGTAATCATTTCATACAGTAGAATTCCAAAAGACCATCTGCAAGAAAAGAAAATAAATCAATGGTTTTTTGCTGGCTTAAATACATAAAAACAACTAGGCATGGCCTGCAGATAGGAGAAAGAATGAGCTGTAAAAGTGGAGCATTATGCAGAAACTAGATCTGCCTTCCTGTGAACTTCAGGACATGAAATTATACATAAAGGAGTGAAAGAGGCAGGTGAAATTCTAGTCCCAAAATGAAGCCATACATGTCTGCCTTGATTGTAGGAGGTTTGCTCAGGAGCCTCTCTGGTGCCTGCCACTTGACAGGCACTTTCCATGCCACTGAGCTGGCACCATATGTGTGAGCTTCGTAGGTCAGGCCCAAACCACAGAGCTTAGCAGTGAAGTTGTGATGAAGAAGGACATTCCTGGCAGCAATGTCACCATGGAACAAGTTCTTTTCTTCGAGATAAACCTGGGAAATTGGAAAAGAAAGAAAACAGGATGATTTTAAAAGCAAATTTAATTGATACAAATTTGCACTGAGTTTATGTTTGTCTTCAACACTGTGGAGTAGAGACACGCATATTGGAAACATATTTTAACAAAGCCTTTATTCTCAGTGCTTAGGCCAAGAAGAATTAAGCCACCACACAAAGTTGTGTTGCAATCAAGCAAGAAGGAAAAAATGCAGCCAACCTGAGCAGACTTACCAGAGCTGCTGCAACCTGCTGTCCAACCTCATATACCTGCTTCTCAGTGAGGTCACAGGGGACACTATCCATTGCCATTACATCCTAGACACAAAATAAGAGACCTTGGTTCAAACAAATGCCACTGCAGTAGGACAGTGGGGAATGTTTCCTTCTAATCTATCTAATCTTTTGCTCCTCCTTCTCATAATTGCTCATAAATGTAGGAGGATGTGGATGGGTGATGCCGAGGGTGTGTTGAGTAAAGATGTGGTACATTAGAGACAACTGGTGGGAAAATTGACATGTGGGGAAAAAATTAATGTTAGACAGAAATTGTCAGAATGACAGTGAAAAATGACAATCCAACAAGTGAAAGAAAGATATATTATAAATTAGAATGATGAATAGAAAAGCACATTTCTTACATATGAATTGGGTACCTGATATGAGACTAACAGTCCATCTCTCCTACCACCCTGCCTGTAACAGTGAAAGAGAGAGAGAGATGAGAGAGAGAATAAGGTAAGCACACAATGTTCTTCCTGTGCCATTTTATAACCCACAGATACATTCCATTTAAAAACTTCCTGAGATGGTTATGTTTTCAACATGTTCAGTAACCTTTGAAAGGTTACCTACCATAACTGACCTCATATGAAGTGTCCATATCCACAGCAGTCAGTGGAAAGACATTCCATTAGTCAACTCCTCCCTTCATGAAAAGGGAAAATCAGTTCCATTTGTTTGTTTTGAATGTGACACATACTAGCTTTATTTCCTACCCCCTGGACCTTCTGCTGAACAGGAGAGGAAGCAATCATTCTGTATTTACAGTTTCAGATGTAGTGATACAGACGGATGAACCAAAATTTGAAAATTTGGCTCATTTTTCAGATGTAGAGTGATGGATTTACACGGTAACATCAGAGTTTTGTTTCCGTGTCTTTTGTAACAATGAGTCAGAGAATCAAAATATGCTGAGTTGGAAGGGACCCACAAGGACCATTGAGTCCAACTCCTGGCCCTGCACAGGACATCCCAATAATCCCACCCTGTCCCTGACAGTGCTGTCCAAACACAGCCTTGGAGCTGTGACCATTCCCTGGAGTGCCTGTTCAGTGCCCCAGCACCCTCTGGGGGAAGAATATCTTCCTGCTATCCAATCTAAACTTTGCCTGATATTTGGGCTCTTTTTTAGCTTGAGTTAACGTTTTCAATGGACTGCATATTTTTATATTGTGAGACCTCATCCCATCAGATTTTACCACTCTTCAGCAATGGGCAGACATGAAGCCATCATGCATATATATGAAACTTCTTCCTGTGCATTATTTCATTTTTAACTATGCTGATTTTCATATCTTCTTTTTATTGACAAGTCTCTCAGTCTTGGAAGATCCTTCTGCAATTCCTTTGGATCTGCCCTTGGCTTTACTGGTTGGAATCATCAGCAAATATCCTCACGTCACTGTCATCCCATTTTTAGGTTATTAATACATGGAATGAACAGCAGCATGTCCTAGATAGCTGACCTCCCTTCAGTGCAAGTACCAACCTTTCATTCTTATATTCTATTTCCTGTCTTTTACCAATTAGTTATCATCCCATGACCTTGCCCTGTGTTGTAACTGCTCTGCTTTCTTTAAAGCATTTGGAGTGAGACATGATTTAAAACTTTAGAAATTCAGGTGGCTGTTAGAATCCATTCTAATTCCAGTGCCTGCAATGCCCTTCAATGGTCTGCCAAGTAGGACCTGAGTACAACTTCTGTGTTGTACAACTTCTGTGGAGCATGGAAATAATTTGATTGGTATAGACGGACACATGGAGAGATGAAAAAAATAATTTATGACTTATGGATAGATATGTTCTTAAGGAATTTAAGAAGCTATTCTGTCATCACTTCTTTTGACTCACCTTCCGACACGTCCATAGAAATGTCAGCAGGTCACCGAGAGACACATCTTCCATGATCATATAAAGTGGGAGCTGGTCTACACAACATCCCACCAATTCAACCAGGTTCTCATGATGGCCAAGATTTTGATGGAATTTAATCCTTCCCAAGAAATCCTTTACTTTCTGGGGACTAGCTGGGTCTGAAAGAACAAAAGAAAACAAATTAAAAACAAAACAACAACAAATGTAAGCATCAAAGAACAGGTTGACAGCTAAAACCAAAATGGTCAGCATCCTTTAATCCTACCTAGACATCCCTACAAGAACATCTTGGACTTCCTATACTGAACATAGCTTGTTCTTGCCCAGTACTGATGGCAATGCTCTGCCCAGCACCATGTCTGGGATACAGAGACGGTACCAAAGTGGATCCTGACCACGGATTTTACCTTGCAAGGCTTTCAATACCACAGTCTTAGTCTTCCCAGAGCTCCCAGTTTCCAACTGTGCTCTGTAGATGCTCCCATAGGCACCAAGTTTTATCAGCTGCAAGGTGTCTGGTAGGAGTTTCTCTCGTGGTATCTCTAATCCTTTCAGAGTCAAGGATTCAGAATTTAGCAGGCTCTCCACAGATTTCTCACTCAGCGGGATGTAGCGGTTCTCTGTTGAGCAGGGTTCCTGCTGATTCTTTCTCGTCACTGACAAAAGCAAATATATATGATGCATAAAAGCAGACAGATGAACTCTTGTAACAGACGGCAATGCTCATCCTTCCATGCTCTTTCACTTTTGCTCCACAGTGTTTCAGAAATCAGAGCAAAGTAAGGAACTGTTATTGTATCCTACTTATCCTGGCCCTTGAAGAGGACAAAGAATTTACCTCCCATTCTGTTGGATGAAAAGACAGAACCAGTCTAGAAATTCTCACGTATTTAACTACATAACCTTTATAGATAAGACACATTTGGACTTCATTCCCACGTGCTCAAGCAATGAACATTTTCTTTTATTACCAGTTCTTAATTATTTCTCTTAATACAGGCTCAAGAGCTGTTTCCCTCTACATACCAAAATTAGTTCAGAACTGTATTTTCATTTCCACACAGCCACACATGTACCAACAAACCCTTCCCTACCCCTTCACCCTGTTCTACTTAATGTTGTCTCCATAGGAAGAGGGTGACAGCAGCTTGAAATTAAATTTCTTACATGGCAGTATAGAAAATGGATTAACTAGGTGTAATGTACATCAAAATTACTATCATTAATAATTACCCCAGTAAAACTCTCCTTGCAGCAGCCTCCAGGAGCTGTTACATAAATACACTTCACAGCTCTTGTGATGTTACCACAGCATGTTAAACAGCCTGCATGGCATGATGCTTTAGATTTTCTCAGATGCATCTATACTACAGCTTCCACTGCTGCTGCTGCAAAGTGAAGTAAATCAGTGTTCCAAATTTTTCTAATGTTGACTGGATTGCTGAATACCACTCAGGATCCTCATAAATGGTTTTGCCTAACACCTCAAGCGATGGGGAAATGGAATTGGCTTTTGGCTGTGAAATCAATACTCTTTACTCTGGTTGAAAAGCATTTTAGCATTTTTTTACCTTGGGGTCCAGCTGGTGCTGATTGTGCCTGCTTTGCTCGCAGGCCACGGCAGTGCAGCCAAAGGATCACAGTGAGCACAATGACAAAAGCTCCCACCAGGAGAACTGGGACAACGATCACTTCTGTTTGATATTCACGCACAACTGTCAGCAGAGAAAGAAAATAGAAAACCAAGGAGTAAGCAGCACACTGGTTCTGTATAAGCATGTAACAGCAATCCATTTTGGTAACTTTCAACCCCCAAAAGTGTGTCTTCCATCCTCTGGAATAGCTGAACGCTGTTAGTGCTGCCACCTTATTTTTCAAAGGTGGCGAGTACTCAAACTCCATGAAATCACTAAGACTCCCACACCTAAGGTCACTTATTTAGATGCTTTAATATGGAGGCCAGGAATTGAAGCCATTTGAAGTCTCATCCACCAGTGAAACAGAAACAGCACTGGCAGCAGGACAGCAGGGAGATGGGACGGGCTGGATATTGCTATGTCACCATGTGCAATTACAGCTCCAGCTCCTTCCAGTAAAATGACACAGAGCATTTTAAAGGAAACTAGGTGTAGTCACCTTTGGATTTTGACTGGAAGACATTGCAATTGGCAAGGCTTGTGAAGGTAACTATCTTTCTCATGACCCCAGATTTGGAGGTGGTCAAGAACATTTTTTCGGTTCCCAAAGATGACAGAAAGTCGTGAAATCAAAATCCCACAAAACTGGTCCTTTTGGAAGCTGCAGGGAATCTTTAATGACTGCTGTACACCTCATTCAAAGTAGGAATTCTCTAAAATGGCTGAAATTATGTGAGATTAATCCAGCCACAGAGGCTTCATCCCCATAAACATTTGGAAAGCTCCATCAAATCTTTCTGTGTGGGCTGCGATGCGATGGAGGAGGAAAAAGGGCTTGGCACACTTTTTAGTGAAGCTGGCCTTCCTGCAAGCATGTGAAACCTTATTAAAGGAATGTGTGAAACTTACCACATAGCTTGTCATTGCTATTGCACTCCAGCAGCATGCGTGAGAATCTTTTCACATCCCCTGCCATGTTCAGTTACAAGCCAGCAGGCCTCCAATCCCCATTTCCTGCACAAAAATAAAGAATAATTTATTAGGAGAAAGGATGATGATGAAGGAACAAGTGAAGTGAATAGGGACTTTTCTACCCTTTACAATCAGTGGCTGCATGAAGCAGCACTGGGATTTGAAGGTTTAAAGAATGACACAGGACATCCACTATCACATCCTATGGATGACGCACTGCATGACCAGAGAGAATTTAGAGTTAAACTTGTTCTACGGTGCTCCACAAGCAAATGAGGACCCCTTGTCCTAAAGGCTGGCATATGTACAAAAATCCATAGATATTAACCTAATGATATTTAAAGAACATCTAATACCCCCCCCCCCCCCCCCAGCTAACACATTTTTAGATGCCAGAATGGCTCAGCATTTTATCTTCTGGCCTATTACAAGTGAACAGATCAGCAGCATGCAGAGAAAATGTCATTCTTGACTACAGTCCTTGCCACTACTCCTACTGTTGCTATACAAAGACAAGGAGAAAAAAGAGTCATCATTAGGGCTCTCTGGTACCAACTTCTGAGCACTGCCAAGTCTGTAGGTATTCTGAAGCACAACATCTGCAACTCTTCTGCATAGCTGAAAATCCACAGCCTGTACAAGCATGCACCTTGTTTAGTCACTACTTCTTATAAATATTGCCAAATTTTAAGACTTAACAGCTTCTCAAACAGTATCATCTAGAACATTTTATAGGAATTGTTACTTTTATCCTGTAAGTACCTACTTTGTTGCCAGATATAAGTTTTAGGCAATTAACCTCAATGGCAAAAATAGGGCATTTGATTTTATGGAATTTGGTGACGAAACATTTAACAGTTTGTTCTCATGCTTAAAATTAATGAGTGAAATTATTCTTTACCAGTTGCACAACAGAGGCAGCAAAGAGAGGAAAATGGAATATATCTGGCTTTAAGGTATCACAATAAAGTCTGTTTCCTTTTTTTTTATTTATTTAATTTTATTCTTAATGTGCTAGCAGATCTACCTGGTTCCAAGGTTGGCTACACCAGGAATCCAGTTAAAGGAGTAATAACACATCAATAATACCAAGCTTTTCAGGTACACCCTGAAAGCAAGCACACTGAAACAACCCACCTCAGCTCTAACACACACTTACACACAAATACACAGCACCAATCCTGGCTTCCTTCATTCTCAGGTACACACAGACTTCAGGACCATTAGCCAGCAACCACAGTATAATCTAAGTCATGAACAGTCCAACCTTCATCTTAAAACTTGCTAATGGCTTTGTATAGGTGCTTACTAGAAATGCACACTGACATTTACACACCATGCATGCACAGGCACACAAAAGCACACACACCTCAGTTTGTGCTTACAGAGGGAGCAACAAAGATCCATGGAAAAAGCTCTGACACAGCAGCCATGTCTACACTGGTCCCTGTCTGTAAAAAAATTCCTCCCTACTCTTTATGCACATCCCAGCAGTGATGCCAGTGGGTGGCACTCATGTTTTCCAACCATACTCAGGGCAAAACCATGGGATCCAGGAATGAAAACATTGGCAGTCATTGGCACTTTATTTGCCCTGGCACTCCCATGTGCTGTAGTTGCTTATGGAGGTGTTAGCACTGGAAAAGCTTGATTACAGAAGCCCACTTACACCCTATGTCTCTATCCTCTCACAATACTCAGCAAGCAGAAAAAGAAGTTTTGCTCAGTAAGGTAATTTTGAAGTGCCATTCAGTGCCACTTTTCAGACCAAGACTAAATAAATTCCTGTACTAGGCTGTTTCTGCAGCTTATTTGTCTAACAGTAACATCACTGCAGTTCTTACACTCCCATCCTCACAAGGAGAATGTTAACTCAGAAATCCACAGAACTCACGTTACACATTTAATGTTTTTTGCAATAGGAAACACATGAAATTTATGTGGAACTAACATGTTCATGTGGATGCTCAACACAGGACTACTGACAGTGCTCAACTACTTATTTTATTAGATGAAGACATTTTTCCAGTACCAAGACAAGATAAAGGAAACAAAAGTATGTTAAAAAGTTCAAAATCTGTACTTCACTGGCATTCTGATTTTCCCTGCCTGTGGGTTAACATTGTACCAACATCGGTGCTGTCTAGATCATGTGTACACATACACTGTGCTACTTCAGTTTAGAATTTGCATTAGAGAATTTGTGCAATTTTAACTAAATGTCAGCTTGTTTATTCCACTGTATTTTTTAATATTCTTTTACACAGACTGAATTCCACTCACTGGAATTCACAGAATCACAAAGGTTGGAAAAGACCTTTAAAATTATCAAGTCCAACAGTCAGCCCAGCACCACCATCACATTCACCACTAAACCATACCCTCACGTGCCACATCCCCATTTCCAGGCATGGTGACTCCACCAACTTCACTGGGCAGCCTATCCCAATGCTTAATGACTCTCGGCAAAGAAAAATTTCCTGCTCTAATATAAACATCCCCTCACACAGCTTGAGGCTGTTTCCTCTTGTCCTGTCCCTGTCCCCTGGGAGCAGAGCCCGATCCCCCCAGCTGTCCCCTCCTGTCAGGAGCTGTGCAGAGCCAGAAGGGCCCCCTGAGCCTCCTTTTCTCCAGGCCGAGCCCCCCCAGCTCCCTCAGCCCCTTCCCCAGCTCCGTTCCCGTCTCTGGACACGCTCCAGCCCCTCCATGTCTCTCTCGTCCTGCGGTTCCCCAGGTGCCCCAGGATCTGAGGTGTGGCCCAGCAGTGCCAGCACAGGGCACAGTCCCTGCCCTGGCCCTGCTGCCACGCCATGGCTGGCACAGCCCAGGTGCCATCGGCCTCCTGCCCCCTGGGCACAGCTGGCTCCTGTCCGGCCGCTGTGCCCAGCACCCCCGGGGCCTTTCCCAGCTTTGCAGCCCCTCTGCCCAGCCTGGAGCTGCAGGGCTCGGGGTGAGCCAAGGCAGGGCCGGGCCCTTGGCCGTGCTGCCCTCAGAGCAGGGCCTGGGCCCATGGATCCGGCCTGGCCAGACCCCTCTGCAGAGCCTTCTGACCTTCAACCTGAACCAAAATCCTGATGTCAAAGCTAAATATACAACGAAGACCACAGTACCTAAAAATAGCAGAAGCAGCTGCTCTTAGACAATGGGAAATACAAGGCAAAACCTCAGCAGAAGTTAAACTACAGTCACCTGCACTTGCAAACTGCTCCTAGCAGACTACCTGGTGCACAGCACATGGCACAGCAGCTCCACAGCCTGCCAGCAGATTAATTAGCCCCGATCCTACACCAACACTGTTCCTCTGTGCACATCTGCCAACAGGATGAACACTTGGGGAAAGGTGGCATTTTGTTTCCAGCCATGTTTGCTTGCCAAGCTGTTTTGCTGCCCTGGCAATTTAGACAAAGCACAGAGGGCAACACAGAGACAGGAATAAGCAGCTAGAGGGTGGCAGCTGTGGGAGCTGCTTAAACCACTTCAGGAAGCCCAAATACTGAATGTGAATGTAGCAGAGCTGAATTAAGTGTTCATCAATGCCAAAAGAAGGGATTATCTCCTCTCTTTGCTGTCTTCTCATTGCTTGTTTTGCTCTCACTTGTGCAATTTTTCACATGGTAAATTGATTCAAACCACTAACCCAGCAGGAAAAATCCACTGCTCATTTGCCATGGTGATTTTCTGCCATTTTAGTGGCTGGTTTTAGTCATGAGTGAATAGCTAATTTATCTAAAGCTGCACTGTGAAACCACTTCCTGTGTCAGCCCAGATCCACGAGCACTGTGTGCCAGCAGAAGCCTTACTGTGATTTTTCCAGTCCTCTGTCATTGATTCTCACATGGATACCATCCCCTTAGCAATAGCAGAAGCATTCACATAATGGTAAAGCCCTAAAATAATCAATCCTCTCTGATATTTTATGGCCTTAAAGTTAATGATTAAGTTCAAATGATGTTATTTAAAGTGCCAGGACTAAGACTTAAGAAGCCTGAGTGACAAACTTTGTGGTGAAGACTGAAAAGAAATAGAAATATCAAGACTTAAGATGCCCATGGAATATATGGGAACAGACAGCTGGAATACTGCCCACACAGAAACTGCCTGCTGCTTGCTCCTGCCATGTTCAGTAAAATAAGTTGTCTATATTCACAGCAAATACACATTATACATAAATTTCCCCCTGAATATGTCTAATTTGTGAGCTACCAGCAGTTCCCATTGTAAGTGCAAACATGTAAATCCTTGTGTAATCATTAGCTAAAGGTCTAAAGGAACACCTTATTAATTAAATATGACAAAAATAAAGGCTAAGATTCATCTGGATCATCATAAGACCCTTTTAAAAGTGCTATGAGCTGACATGGACTTAATGCAGTTATGTCTCCAGACATCCTGTCCCATGTTAAATGCACATCACTTTATTATAAAAATATTCTTACACTTGTTTTTCATGCACCAGTTGTGAGGACTAGCTGTAATGTGACTACAGGCACATAAAGAACAGCTGAGCAATTCAGTAACTTTAGTCCAGCACAGTGCCTGACTGATAAAAGACAAATCCATAAACATTATGTCTTCTACTCAATTTTTTGCAGTGAGTGGCAAAACCTTGCTCTCCAGCTTTTCCCATTACCATTTCACTGCTGCTTTTATTATTTCCCTCCTCTTTTATTTGACCTTTGAACATGGACAACAGTCAAGGCTTTGGCAACTGCTCTGCACAAGCGCGCTGTGCTGGCTGTGCAGCAGGAAGGGAGAGGAGCTACAGGGAATTGCAGGAACCCAAACAGCAAGAAACCACTAGGTGTGGGCAATTTTGGACATTGAATGGGAGAGAAGAGGAAGAAATAAAGCACACTGTAAAACAAACAGTGAAAAAGAGATTTTTTTTTTCCCCCTGCCATGTCCACCATTTACTAAAAGCAGCATCCAAAACAAATAAAAAACGAGCCAGACAGGTTTCAGCCATGCATTTGTTAGACTGCATATTCTGTCTCTTCTGTCTGTAGGAGACCTTAGTGACTATTTCCAACAGCCTGGTAGACCATGTCATTTTTGCAAGGTTTCCCTGGCCCATGGAGTCACCTCATCTCTCACTGCAAAGCACCCGTGGGTTACTTAAGCAGCATCTTCACCTGGGCTGAATGGGAAATTCTGACCTTCCACACCAGAGTCGCTTCTGTCCTTGTGAACAAGGACTAAAAATAATATCCTGTGGCTTGCTGTAGCACTGTCTCAGCTATGAAGACTTAGTTGTGTAACTCACTTTTGAAACAGCTGGTAGCTGTAACACCCTATAAGAAAACAAAGTGTTTCAAAAATCAGACACAGAAACATAAGATTTTCTCTTGGTCCAAAATTAGAAGCAATACTTGAATATCAAACCTAGGCTAGCTGCTACAGAAGCATATTAAGGGAGTGGAAGAAAATTAGGCTGACCACTTTTGAAGAGCTAGACAAAAGCACAGAGAGCATAGAGAAAACAGCAAATAATGAGGCCCATGCTGCTATTTGAGCAGGTGGTTACTTAAAGGAAACTTGGCTCCTTTTCAATATAGCAGAAAAAATCAGGCAAAGTTCACAGTCACTACTGCACTGAGAAATGAGTCAGGAGTATTCAGTGCTGCTGTGCTTTTATGCTAGAAATGTTTGTTCTAACTGGCACCATTTCAGTCGAGATATGCAAGTTCTTTCGGTGCTAGGTTATGCTTAAACTCAGATCATCTACAAAAATTAATTTATTTGTGCTGCATAAGAAAATCTAAATACAGAAGTGTGAAACAGTACAGAACCCGAATGAGGATTAAGTCAAAGATATTTTTTCTAATGCAGACATGGCCTACCATAGTTTCTGGAAAACTGAGATCTATCTTGAACATTCCCACTGAATTAAGGCCAGCAAAAGTAATTCCTCACAGGTAATCTGAAGAATGAATTAAAATAATAAAAAAAAAACCCCAAGGAATACATTAAGCTGAAGCCCTTAATGAGCAGGTTATTAAAAGTCTAGAAGTGAAACTTTCAACAGTACACTTCTACCTATGGCTTCCTTTTTATGACAGCAAAATCATATCCTGCTTTTGAAAATATCTCCCTGCTGACTGAGCTCTGATTTTGCTGGTAGCTGCCTGTATTAAGCCTGTCTCAAACCCCAGCACAAATACAGAAATTCTGAAAAACTGTGACAGCAAAAGCTATGAGAGAACATGAGAAGAATGAAGGATTTTTGTTTCAAATAATCATGCATACATATAGCTCTTGTTGTGAAAAACCTACTGTGTGATAAAAATACTGTATGACATCACATTACTGTTTCATTGTTTCAGAAATCCAACATAAATCTGCTTTCATAAATTCATAGCCACCTGAAGCTGTGTAGACAACTTTAGTTTTAGTTTCCCAAGTTCTGGATGTTTCTTGGTAGATTTAACACAGATTTTTGTTTGTAATTTAATCAGTAGCTCAAGCACACACAGGTAAACAGGAAAATCTAGATATCTTCACCAGTTTGGGTTAGAGATCACTGCATTACAATCAAGCAACACTGATAGGAGTAAAATGGTAATTAGTTCAGCCCCAGGCATGTATTATTTAACTAAAGATTAGTCATATTTATACATACATGCGTAGCATCACCCTCTTTCAGTGAACTGAGACTAATTTTATGCGGAACTTAATTACTTTGTTAATTTCTTCCTCTTTAAAAAATGCCTGTGAGCTATTCCATTTAAATCAGCCAGTGTGTAGAGGACATCCTTCTTTTTTTTTCCTCAAACCCCAACACCATTATGATCACAGAAATGGCTGTAAGTACTTCACAACCAGCAGTAAACACATGCACATGTGTACATACAAACAGAGACAGACATATAGACTTTACAGTAAAGCCACCTTCTAATTCAGGTCACATTTATGTTAATAAAAGTCTTCTAAGAAATAAATATTCATGGACTGATCTTCCAGAAGTGCTTTCTCTCACTTACCTGAATGACACCACTTCCCCAGCCCTGCGGTCCTCTTTTCCTGACGCTCTCCTGCTGCCGTTTCCCAGGTTGTGAGGCCACTCCCAGTAACTCCGATGATTACCTTGGGAGGGTTGTAATTCTTACGATTAAGTTCCTCCTCAGTGATTTTTCTACTCCAGTCCCGCCCAGCTTCGGCTCTTGGCTGCTGTAGGTCTCCTCAGCTGTGTCCCCAGGGATGTCCAACACACAGGTGACAGGAAGGCACACACTTGCAGAACGGGTCTGCCTGGCTTCCACACACCAGCTGCTCATGGGCTCGCTACAGACAGGCACGGCAAAGGCACCTGCAGTGGGGTTTGAAAGGCACACCAGTACAGATCAAGAGGGACAGGTTATATAATAAATAGAATTCATAAACTTCTGCCTACAGGTTCACGTTTAAAAAGAACACGTTCTGTTTCTTGGAACAGAAAATCTGTACAAAGCCCTGAGGACTCTAGAGGCTGAACAAACATTCCATCGGGAACACAGTCTGCAAATGAAGAAAGAGATAAAATATTAATGATATTAAAACATGCTACAGCAGAAACACAGGGTTTTTCACATTCTGCCTTGCCACTTGGTGCCCCTCCTGCTCGGGCTGTCCACACATTTGTCCAGAACTTTGAAAAGTTTAGCTTTCCCCTGCCTTCTCCTCACACCACTCTGAGCTCCCCAACCACACCAGGACAATATTCCTGAACTTCCCTGTGACCTTTTGATGCCATGATGTCCTTGGAGGCTCCATGGTGCTCTGCTGGTGTCCTCAGCAGCTGTGGGATCTAATCTTCATCACACCTCAGCATTTTATTTCTGGGGACTTTCTTCTGACCAATGCAAACAAGCCCCAGCTGTTGGCCTGCCCTCCCCTATCACTGATAAATCTTGTGTTAAGAGTTTCAGATTCCTGAGTCCTGCATATATGAGTCTACACAAGATTATTTGCTTACCTTACTTCACAAGAGAGGCAGTTGCATTTCAAGAGTAAACAACATGAGAGCTACTTCTTGTTGAGAGACAAACTTAATTTCACACTCGTCAACTCAGTGCAGGTGGTTTGGGGAAGATACAGCAGATTATATGATCTCTGCCAACTGTTTTAGCAAAATTCACCTACTCCTGTTAACATTTTATCATTGCATGTAATTATGTTGTTGTGGGGAAAATTTTAGTTGTGGCACAATCAATACCTTTAGGTATCAAAAGACAGTAGTTAATTTAAGAGAGGCTTCTCCCTAGCATTATTCTTCCAGCTGGCATTAACCTATGCGTGCAAAATGGTGAAAACCAGGAGTGATAAAATCATTGCTTGATCTCTCCACAGACACTGGCAGGAGTAGGCAAAGTAGTATCAATGAAGTAGTCCTGTGATATGGATTTTTATCCTCTGAGAAACCAGGAGAGACATCTTCTAGAATGAAAATTTCATTGAAATAGAAAGATCACTACAGCTCTAGAATGTAGGCTTAGACTCCAGTTTCAGCTTTCCTCTCAATCTGGTACTAACTTGCATTGATTCTCTGTAGTGTTTTCTCCATGAGGGAGCAGGAGATCCGTCTTATACCTCATTTTCCATTAAATAGTAGGTAAAATGCAAATTCTAGCTAACAGTTCTTCATTTAAATGAGTTACATTCCACAGGCAATTACATTCCCTACCTCAAGGGCACCTGGAGGAAAACCTGTTCAGATTCCTGTTTAAAAATATGACAACTGAAAATCTTCCTCCTTTCAGTTTCTGTACTTCCCTACTGTAAAAGAGAGTGTGAAAGACAAAGGGTTAAATACTCAGAGTAAGCATATACAAAAGCAGCAATGGCTGCAGCTTCTAATTTCCCCCCACCAGTGTCTCTGTTGTGCTCCCAGTCTGACTGGTTGGATAAGATACTTTAATGGTTCAGAGTTCAGGCTTCAGCCTATATAATCCTCCTCATTCATCAACAAGCCTGTTCCCCTGCTTAGTGAAGTGACAAAAGTCATTTATTGTCCTGTGAAAAACAGACTTTTCCTACTATGTCTTGTATTGTACATGCATCCACAAAGAAAACGTTGCCTGTTTGACATCCTCTATCCTTCTCTGCTTTTTCCTTATGGTTAAGCACACTGAAAGGCAGCAGACTGGCAGTTTTATTAACCATCCTCTTTATCTCCAGGACAGCTGTAGCACATGTAGAAACCGTCCTAACCACACACAGCTGCTGCACCATAGCCTCAAGATGGATTCTAGGACTAAGCAGTAAACTTCTTGAGTTAATTTTCACATTCTAATATAAGACTTAAAACTGTGTCTTATGGCTGATAGACTGTGACTGATCTTTTGGTCAACTTAAGCCCACAGAGGTGTAGAAACTCAGAAGATAAGGGGCTAATGTGTAAGACTCAAACAACAACAGCCACATGGCTGCAGAGCCAACCAAGGATTGCTGGTAACAACACACTGTGAGAAAGAACAAGATGTGGCTGGGGAAAGGGCCATGCAGAGGAAGGGCAGCACTTTTCTGGCACAAAAGCCCTCGATGTAGTTTCTGCAGATAAGCACAACATGGCACAGCACAGGAATGATCTAAAAGTGAAAGAAAACCTCCCATCATTGTCCCAAGCATCTGCTCTGCCTCATGAGCTTTGCCTCTCAAAGTAGCAGGTTTTCTTAATCAAGAAAAATTACAAGCCTATATTTTTAATGGCAATTCTGTTGTGATTTCCAGCTCAGCCCTGCAGTATTTTTTATTTGAAATTTCCAAGGGTAGCACCATATGGAAAGAAACAAAGTAGAAAACTGAAATTACCTTATGATTAGGCATCGACCTTCATCAGCCAGCTGAAGGTCCAGTAATTTGCTAGCACTTTTTCTAGTCACGGATTTTACTCAGCTGCTTTTGAACCCCTGCAAAACTTAGCAACAAAATGCTCTGCAATAAGGTTGCATTCATGCAACTTAGGTGAATAAATACTTAATTTTATTTTGAAGATAGAGTCTCATCTTCAAACCAGCTACTCAGTTGACAGTGAAATGAGTGATTGCAAGAGATGAGCAAGTCTCCTGCATAATGAGAATACTAATTTACCAAATAATTTAAAAACAGGACTAAGTTTGTGTTTCTGTGGAAGAAAAAGGACAACAAGAGACAGCCCAAACCATTCACGGTTTGGATATTGATCTGAAATGGGACATGACTTGGAGTATGGACAATTCAGAAATGAGATTTGATTCTCACTCTGCTATAAACCAGGTAAGTCCTATGTATTAACACTTGACAAACCTTGAGTCTTGTTGCACTTTCTCCAGAAAATTTTTAACCTGATTTTGCCTAGTCCTACGAACACCTTCTCCAGCTTTTTTTTGTTTTAATGATGCAGAGATCATAGAATCACAGAGCAGTTCAGAAGGGACCTTCATAGACCATGCAGTTACAACACCCCTGCTGTGAGCAGAGACACTTTCCACTAGTCCATACAGCTTGACCCTGAAACCACACACACGGCTCGGTTGGATGGACAGGCAGAGCCCAAAAAGAATGAAGGTTAATAATTCCAAGTGTCGAGTCCTGCATTTTGGCCACAATAACCCCCTGCAGCGTTATAGGCTGGGGATGGCGTGGCTGGACAGTGTTCAGGTGGAAAGGGACCTGGGGGTGCTGGTCGACAGCTGGCTGAGCATGAGCCAGCAGTGTGCCTTGGTGGCCAAGAAGCCAATGGCATCCTGGCCTACATTAGGAATTGTGTGGCCATCAGGAGCAGGGAGGTCATTCTTCCCCTCTGATCGGCATTGGTGAGGGCACACCTGCAGTGCTGTGCCCAGTTCTGGGCCCTCAGTTTGGGAAGGACTCGAGATGCCTGAGCGCGTCCAGAGGAGGCAACGAGGCTGGAGAAGGGCTGGGAACACAATTCCTGTGAGGAACGGCTGAGGGAGCTGGGGGTGCTCAGCCTGGAGAAAAGGAGACTCAGAGGTGACCTTATCGCTCTGTAGCGCTCCTGAAAGGTGGCTGTGGTCAGTGGGGTTGGTCTCTTTCTCCAGGCAGCACTGACAGAACGAGAGAACATCAAGGGAAATAGAGGGTGGGTATTAGGAAAAAGTTTTTTACAGAAAGAGTGATAAAGTACTGGAATGGTCTGCCCGGGGAGGTGTTGGAGTCACCATCCCTGGATGTGGCACTGGGTGTCATGGTTTACTCGAGGTGTTAGGGCATGGGTTGGACTCTGTGATCTTGACGGTCTCTTCCAACCTAGTGATTTTGTGAGTTCTGTGATTCGGTCTGTGATGCCGGCGGCGGCGCTGGAAGCGAGGGGCAGGCGGGACACGGAGCGGGGACACGGAGCGGGGACACGGTGCCCGGGCACAGCCACAGCCCGGCGCCGCAGAGCGCCAACCGCGCCGATCCCCCGGCCGCCGAGCGCTCCCAAGCGCTTGCGTTCGCGAAACACAGAATCAACCGAGCTCGCGAGCCGGGCGGGAGGGGTGGGCACGGCCGGCGGGCGGCCGCTGGTGTGCCGTTACCGCCCGCTCCGATCGTGAGGGCGGGCGGCGGCCCCGGCGCCTCGGGGGACGCGGCCGCGGCGGCGGCCGAAAGGCGCCCATGGTGTGGGACAGCACCGGGGCTCGGGCTCGCCGAGGGCTCCGGGACAAGGGCGCTGCCCGGTTAGCCTCAGTTTTACCTCGTTGTGTGACGAGACACGCGGAACACCCAGCGTCTGAGGTTTGGCACCGCTTTAAAATGCCACTACAAATCACCCGTCGCGTTCCTCCCGCACGTATCGGCAATAAAACCCGGGGAACAGACACCCACCGAGTCTGAGAAATCATAGGATAAAAACTATGATTTATAAAAACTAAATCACACTGTGCAGTGTGATGTATAAACCACTACACTGAAGCTCTTCGTCTCTTTCTTCACAGCTCTGTCCCATCCATTGGTGGTTTTCAGAAAAGGAAATTAAAGGCAATACTTTGTGTCACATTTTCGGTGAACACTAAGGTTCTAAAACTCTTTTTGCCCCAAGCATTTTAGAAAATCCTAGAATTTTAAGCATCTAGGAAATCCTAGAATTTCATTCCCTACAACCAAGCAGAGGTTAGGGAATCATAATCACTAATGTGCCTCTATGGTGACAGAACTCAGTGTTTGTACTTAACCTGGCTGGAGCCTATAATTGTGAAATAAATACTGGTTACACATGAGGATTTTACAGCTAACTTTGAAAATAAGGAGTTGCCCTGGGCCAGAGTATTTGGGAGAGAAGCTGGAAGACAACTGTAACAGGGTAATGAAGTTTACTAGTGAAGGGTTTGACACAATGATCTTTTGTTACTGATACCAAAAATCTTTATTTTGCACAAGCACAGCATATTTTAGCTAATTCTTTCTACTAATTTCAAAATGAGTCACAAATAATATGCAGCATACAGATGACCAGTAACCTTCAGGTCAGATTCTTCCTGAATTCATATGTAAATCTAAAAAGTATATGCTTTTATTTTTTTTTATTGCAATATTACTTTGTCTCAACTATGAAAATCAACTCACTTCAGAGTAAAATAAAGTAGGAGATTCCTGGTTTCCCTATAGATGGCTGAATCAGAATCTCAGGAAGAAAACTATTATAACGAGGGAAAGATGGTGGAGAACTTTAATATGGACATGGAAGAACTTCTGGACGAAATGGAAAAACTAACAGGTGTGGGTCTTTATTAGGAATGATATGAATTTTTGTACTGAAGACATTGAAGATTTATTTTTATATTTATTCTGTAAACTTCCATATGATAGAAATGTAATTAAAACAATCACCATCAACTAATGCCTTTGTGTTCTTAATTGTGAAAAAGCATGTGGTTCAGATGGCTCAGATTTAAAAATCAATAGGTGATGCTTGCTTAATTCAGTGTTGGTTAAAACCAGAAATATTACTAAGGTGTTTAATGTACAATTATTAAAATATAGTATATAAAATGAGACTTAATTCTGAAAAAATGATACATATCACCTCTCAGATCAGTGTACTAAGTGAATTCTTGGTAAAATAAAAGGGAAAGTATGTAAGTGTACATTAGTACATAAGTGCAAAACTATTTGCTCAGCTTTATCAGATACTCATTATTAAAAAAAAAAATCCATTATTTAAGGTACTGATTATTTCAAGATCAATTCATTACTTAAGCTGTCTTATAAAATATTTCCTCTCAGTTGCAATCTCCTCAATCTTATTCTTCCTCAGCTAACACAAGCTATAACTGGTCTGGAGGGAGAATTCCTTATATAATAGTCATATATTTTCAAACACTCTCTTGACCCTTTCCATTTGATTACCTGCTTTGTTGTCATTTTTAGGTGAAGGGTCCATCCTTGTTTCATAATTTACATCAGTGCACTTTCATTATAAACTATTTTGAGACATTTATAAAGAAGTAATACTGAACAGTCTATCTAATCTAGTATTACTGTAGGCAGTTTCCATTTTATTTTCCAGCTTTCTCTGAGATCTGAACTGATAATAATTCATTTTATTTATTGAATTTATTTATTGAATGAGCCATTGCTTTTTCCTGGCCAGAAAATAATAACTGCTGTTGTGTTTGCAGTGCGTGCAGCCTGGATGGCCTACGACTACGTGGCCATCCAGACCAACCCAGGCCCCTACAATGCCATGCAGCACTTGGAAGATGCCTTCCTGATGTGCAAAGAGCAGATGGAGAAGAAATGGCAAGAGGTGCTACTGGAATCTAGAGGTGAAGGGCAAAAAAAGGAATAAATTGAACTTGGTCATGCTGCCAGAATGACAGAATCCCTTGGAAAATCACTTAGGCCCCTTTTCCTCCCAGCTGTGGAGGATTCACAGGCACTGTGGGAAATGGGCTTTCCTCTTGCTAAGAACTACTTATTTGTGAACATCTGTGGCAGCATTTTAATGAGATTACACATACAGCTTCATATAGCTGAGGGTAAAAGGCAGCAGTGTGTGTATTAGCATGATGCCCATTCGTAATCCCTGTAGTGTTTGCACACACAATTGACACACCCTCTGACCTTTTCCCTGGAAGATCATACTCACTCCATGGTCAGTATAACTGGAATTCTTAGAAACCTGAACAAACTGGGAGGATGGGGAGTAGGGGTGCTGTAGAGGACCAACACAGTGGCAGTGGTAGCCCATGGCTTTCAAAGAAAACTGAAGAATTGCTTATTTTCCCAAATGAAACACAGGTTACATTCTAGGTTTGCAGATAGAGTGAGAGTTGGTTTTATTTAGTATTATCATCTAGGTGTTCGATTACATAGTTTTATTATTTAGATGTATCGATAGAGTGAGAGTTGGTTTTATTTAGTATTATCATCTAGGTGTTCAATTACATAGTTTTATTATTTAGATGTCTCATTTATAGTTGTTGCATCTTCTTCCATTAGATTTTTAACCATTTCTTTGAACTGTTTTTCCCAGATTGTTCCTCTCAAACCCTCTGAAGGTGGCATGAAATAAAAATGTTTTACCATTACAGACTGCAGTGTGGTGGCACTGCTGCAGAAACCAATTAACCATGTTATAAAACACACTTCTCTCCATACATTCTTACTGTGCGATATTAGAAGATGATAAAAACTTACTTTTTTAGTCAGGATGTGGATTAAGAGCACCACTTCATGGTTTGTGGTTATACATAAATGAGTAATTTATCAGAGACAGAAGTCAGTACAATATGTTGTAAGGATCTTCCCTTTTATTAAAATCAGTCTCTTTTAACTAGAAAGTAAGCTCCATGCAGCAAGTGAGAGCAACTCCCTCTCCTCTGAAGAAGTATTTAATCATTTAAATCACATCTAAATAATCCCTGAAAGTTTACCAATTTTTAGGCTGTGTATTTCTTCAAGTGTGGTTGATCTAAATTCAGACAAAATATTTAGCCACTGAAGTAAAAAATATGTAGGTAATTTAACTTTGGGGTTTTTAAAAAGGCACCAAATATTTCTAAATAAGAACAAACTTCAAACGCTACACTTCACTTTCCCGTGGGTAGGTCTTCACTTCTCCAAGATTTTCTTCACAGTTATGTGATGATTACAAGAGGAAAGTTAGGGAGAGGCAGCAGTGCTTATTTCTAGAAAAAAACTATACAGCAATATATTTTACTTTGCTATTTTTTTCCTTTATTTAATTATTGGGTTATTACTCATCATCTACCCTATTTCAGCCCTGCTAGAGCCTGCAGCAAAACCCAGATAGCCCACATTGCAACACCCTTATTTCCTGTCACAGGCGTGCAGCTACGAATTTCCAGAAAAAGAAACTAAGTGGAGTAACAGCCCCATCTAGTGCTCACAGAACTGTACCAGTAAACTGGATTGCTGACCTCTCTGAACTCCCCAGCACCCGTTTTCTGCGAAGAGAAGTGTCAGCAGTTGTGTGGTGTGTAACACTGCAAAGCTTTTACCATCCATGGCACAGCAAACTTTACTGACCTTAGTTGTGCGCTGCACCTGTTGGCAGGTCAAGAGGCTGATGCCCAAGAGTGACCTATCCAAGAGCCACCAAGTGGAGCCATAAATATTCTCAATACTCAAACTCACAGTTTCCATTAAGAGTTTCTTACCAAGAAACACATGAGGCTTATACAAAGCCTTCTGTATAATTCCGATGTAAATTCTTCTGGTTGAAACTGTGCCCTTCTTTTCAGTGTAAAACAACTGAAAGGAGGCTAAAATGAGAACATTTCACACATCCACTAAGGCATCTCGACCTTGTCAGAACATGTCCTAGAGCTCTGTTTAGAATATTTATTTCATTTATTACTACTGCCCTCCTGTTCTTTATTGTAGCCTCAAGAATCCATATGAGCTGTTTTGCCTTTTAGCATATTTTCAAAATTGCAGTCCAGATTGTTGCAGCAATTTCTCCTGAAATTCAATCTGCAACACCTCTATTTATACAAACCATTAAAATAATGTTATTTTTTTCTGAACAAGAACTGTATCACATAGGCACTACTGGCATGAAAGTGGCAGTGTATAATTCATTAATTCTAAGGACTTTGTGGTCCCACTCAAGACACCATTTACATGTCAAAACTTGCAGCCAAACATTGAAGAATAATGCATTTTGACACCAGTCAGAAAATAGAATGAAGCTGTGAGTCTTTTCTATCACATTTTAAAACTTTAAAATATTACTTATCTCATCAACTGGTGGTATTAAGTCATCAAGATCCGTTTTCTGCTCAATGCATTATTGTCCTGCTCTAGGACTCAAAATTCAATCATAGTAGCCTTGCTCCATTATTGCAAACAGCACAAAATAGAAAGTTTAAGCTACCACATTTGACATGGCCTCCAAAATCTTCTCATGCCCTTTACACCTGAGGAAGGATCCCACTGCCACTTGGCTCATGAAGATGCTTTTCCCTACAACTCTGAGCACTTGAATCACACTGGTTCTCCAAAAAGCCAAACCAGCAGAAAGCAGAATGATGTCTAAGGCCATGGCTTCAAACTCAGGATCTGCAAAGAGACTCTCTAAAAAAATCCATAAGTAACAGAGTCAGACATCCACAACTGATTTCACAGCCCTGAGAGCAAACTATGTAGCACAGGCTTCATTTCCAGAGCTTTTTCCAACAGGAAGAGTTTCACTTCCAGGGCCCTTGTTGCACCTGTGTAGTTCTCCCACAGCAGCACTGTCTGAGACAGAAGCTTACAGTACGCATCTCTCCAGACTGTGAATGCCTTGTATTGCAGTTATGTTCAAACGAAACAATGCACAAAGGAAAGCCTACAGAACTCTCTTCTTCCTTCCTCTATCATCCTCAACAGTTCACGAGCCACAGGGAATGTTTTTGCAGCACATTAGCTACTCCACAAATTCAAAATCCAGGGAGCTAAATGTCTTTTTAAGAAACCAAACCAACACAATACAAACTAAGCTCTCATCTGAAATTCTGCTTGAGGCAAATAACCCATAACCATATTTACAGCACAAGCTGCCAAGAGAAATGACCCTCAATATTGAGCATCAGGTTTATATTTTCCTGGCAAATTCAGCTAACAAGAGCACAAAAGGCCTAGTAGAGGAACAATTTATGTACAGCCCAAGACTTCTAAGATGTAATTGTAGTAAGTGCTTTGAACTTTGCTAGAGTTAAGCTTACATTTTTATAACCAGGGGACTGAGGGATGAAGTGGGTTATGTGAGTCACTGGCTTCTGTTTTATGCAAACACTCTTACTAGAGGCAGGACAGAAATAACAAATAGAACTCAATGCTAGCACATTACTTGCATCTCTTCCTTTCTCCCTTAATAAAAAAAAATATATGGGTAGTTAGGTACTTTTGTTAACCTGATTCAATCTGACCTACATGTTTGCAGAGATTAAGAAAATTCTCTTTAGCCTGTCAAAACTCCCAAGGGAAAAACACCTATTGAAGGCTATTCAAGTAGTTATGACAAGTTCTGCAGGAACACTTCATATTTACAAATATCTTGCACCTGCTTGTTACGGTGAAATTATCAACCTCTCCCCAACATGCCTATACAATTAGTTCAGAGCAGAATTTAAGCCTAAAAATATTTATCCTGTTTAAGATTTTTTAAAGGTACTATTACTTATATTTTCCTCACCTTACTGCATTTGATTTTGTGTCAAAACAGACATATTTCTTCATCTTCCAAGTAAAGATTTCTTTCTCAACCAAGCCTATGGCTTTCACTTCACAACTCATTAAGAGGTTCCTGATCCCTTGCAATTCAGTCAGCTGTAAGCAGTGCAGCTCAGGCACCACTAAACATTTTCCCACCCTCCCTCTCCCCGAGGCAAAGGCGATAGGGTGCAAGGGCCCTTCCTCACCTTCCCAGAAGCTGGAAGCAAGAGGCTTTCAGGTGCAATTATGCCCTGCACTCTCTGCTTAATTCCTGAAGAATAACAAGATTATTTGTTTGAGAAACAAATATACTTATCTAGGATTAGGGCAATAACAACTTCAAGACAGTGAGAAAGGCTGGACTAACAATGAAGGACACAAGATATGCACCCATATTCAACAGCTGGAAGCAGACTGATAACACCTGGAATACAGCCAAGTTTTAGGGAGGAACATTAAAAAACCACTGACATAAGATAGCTCAGTACTTTGTTCATTACACAAGACAGCACAGGTACAGAGATTTAACTGGTTTGAAATAAAGAGTGGAGAAGCCAGTCAAACATTATTCAGAACAGAATCTTAGATAAGGTGGTAGCTACTACACCAGTGCCCTTCTTGAGCAGAGTCTCAAAACTTGGATTCTACTGTTTACACAACACAAAAGCCTAGCAAAAGAGATGAGGAAAAAAACATTCCAGGATCTCACTCCGCCATCCCACAAACTCTTGCCACAAGACAGGAACAGGAAAACCCAACCATTAAACATCATTAGAGCCAAAGGAACAGAGGGAACAGTGTAAGTTATAGCTATTTTGTGATTTCTTCACAGAAGTTGTTTTGTATTAAAGTATATCCACCTAACCATGCTCAGGTATCATCCAGCAGGACACGTGCAGCTCTCTTTCACATATAAACACTGAAGGAACAAGATTTAAATAATGAATTCTTTTAAAAGCAAACATGAAAAAAACACTCTAAACCATTTTTTTTTTTGTAGTTGAAATTACTTTTATTTGTGAGGAACGTCACCCATGCTGCACAGTTTCAAATAGATCTTAACAAGGAAAGCGGAAGTTTGTCCTCCCCACGTCCCGCAGTGAACAGGACTGGCACAGAAAAAAAAAACTCACACTTGGGAGGTTTAGCACCAGCATCCAATAAAAAAAGCATTTTATTTCAATTTTAGTTCTTTGGTTGGTTTTTTTTTCCCTTTTCAGTTTGATACCAAAAGAAAAATTGAAAAAAATCAATACTAGCAAAACAGTGAAATTCTAGGGAAAAAAACCCCAAAAAACAAAAAGCTCCACAGTTGCTGTTGAAACTAGGGAGGTTGTTCTTTCTGAACCTCGCTCTCTTTCTCTCTTCATGCATCTATCTTGTAGGCGTTCCCTGGATCTCAGCTGCTGGTAAATTTTCTTTTACATTTTGGTATTTCAAATCTTTGCTTTTGTCATCACTGTTGACAATTTATTGCTTGTGTGTTTCTTTGGTGTTAATTTTGAGTTGTACTTTAGGACACCTGTTGAAGAGCCACATGTTAAAAACAAAATACATTTTAAGTTACACTTTCTCAATAAATAGACAGAATGTCAAATGAAAAGAGTTATAAAAAGCAGGATAAGCCAGTTGTGCTTATCCTGTCTGTTATAATCAGAACCTTCCTAAAATAAAATAACTAATCAGCAGATGCTACTACTATACACACCAGACAGCTTCCTGGAAAAAAAAATTAATTATAAAGCAAAACTTACTTTGTGACAAATACAGAGGCAGAGAGAGGGGAGAAAGAAGAGAAAAGCACTATCTTGGTTTGCCTCTACAGCACTCTGAGAACTTTTCACAAATATCAAGCCATACATAAGGGGA